TTATACAACCAAGATGCATGAATATAATGCTGTATTTATGAACTTTTTTTTTAACATACGTTTAAAGAATATGCAAAAAGTACAATTCTGCTGGGCATGGTAGTTTGTATCTGTAATCCCACCACTTTGGGAAGCTGAGGCAAGAGAATCACTTGAAGCCAGGAGTTTGAGACTAGTGCAATATAGTGATGCCTTATCTCTATTAAAAACCAACAATAAAAAAAAAAATTAGCCACATGTGGTGACACATGCCTTAGTCCTAACTACTTGGGAGGCTGAGGCAGGAGAGTTGCTTGAGCCCAGAAGATCAAGGCTGCAGTGAACTCTGATTGCAGTATTGCATTCCAGCCTGGACAACTGAGTAAGACTCTGTCCCCACCCCCCCGACAAAAAACAATTCTATGATAAACCATTGTTCTGTGTGTTGTAATATTCTTTTCCTGTAATATTAAAACGTGGTAGAATATGGTCATTTCCTTCCATTATATATTCTTAGAGGTTAAGGATTTACTTCTAATATCACTGACTGCTTCCTAATAACCAGTGAAAGGTATATGTTTCATGACTACTTCCATATAATTTATTTATATTTCATCTGTTACACAGTAAATTTGAGGCACATACTTGTGATTTTATTTTCCTAGCTTGGTTTCTATTTGTGTTTGCTTTTGCTTGTTTTGAATAAAATTACATACATTACTAGTTAATACATTTTGGATAGGAACTTTTGATTGAGGCATGTATATAGGCTTTATTCTTTCTTGACCACCGTGAGTAGCAGTGAACTAGATCTTACTAATTATTTGATTCACTTTATACATCTCATGAGATGATTTCAGATGGTATGATTTAAGTATGTAAGGGGCTAAGTATACATCCCTTAAATGTTGGATTATGTTTGGAGACATACTATGGGAGAGTATTCTAAATGTGGGAAAGACATGCGAGGGTCTGTGATGTTGTCCCTATTTGATTACAGTAGGTACCAGTTGATACCTTTTTGGTAAGCCCCTTCTCCATAGTCCATGCCATTATATGCAGATTTGTCATGTTATATTCTCTTAAAAGACTTAACATTTTACCATGTTTCTTTGTTGTTATTGAAAGGCTTTTGAATATAATTTTATATCCAATATTTAAAATTTGCCCATTAGTTTTCAAAGTGGTTATGCCGTTTTACACTGTTCACTCAGTGATAAGTGAGAGGTGCAGTTGCTCCACATTCATGCTAACATTTGGTGTTGCCTGTTTTTTTTTTTTAGCCATCATAGTGGGTGTGAAGTAGTATTGCATTTTTAAAAAATTTTATTTAATTTGCATGTATCTCACTTGACTAATGTTGTTTAGCACCTTCTCATGTATTTATGGGCTATTCCAAATCTTTTTGAATTATAGGAAGTATCTTCCTGCTTTAAAGACCCACTGCCAGCAGGGTCACTTGCTGAGGAATTCTCTTTGCTCTCCAGTTTGGTTTCTGGCTTTCTGTGCCTTGAGAGCTCTTTCAGCCCTACTGCTCCATCCTTGGCCTATAAAGGTTGACTATCATTGCCCTGTACTCTGTGAAGGTGGGTCTTGCCTCTGAGAAGTTTCTCTTGGCTTTTCTGTTATCACCTGTCCTCAAGGTTTTTTCTTGCTGGAAGCCTAGAGTACACGAGGAGATTATTTCAGCTCTCACTCTCTTTTCTTGCCCTCACTTTTGGTAAAGGTTGGTGGGACAGAGTGTGTGTGTGTGTGTGTGTGTGTGTGCACGTGTGTGTGTGTGTGTGTCTGTTGAGCAGATGGATTTATTAATAGTACAGTCGTTCTGTACCTACGGATCCTCTGGGTTCTACAGGAGTATGTCCACGTATGGTTTCTCTTTAACCCTTGTCTGTGGCAGATTTCTCTTCCCACCTCTATTTCAGTCAGGGATGATGGCAGCTGAGGATATTTTCTCTTTTAAAATGCACTTCTCACTGTTTGGAGTTGATTTAGATTTCCCCAAGTCTTCAGTCTCTGATGGGTTTTTATTCAGCTTGTTTTAGGGTGACAGTGATGATCTCTTGGAGTTTCTATTTTCAAATTGGAATTAAGTCCCCCTTCTTCCCAGCTGGCTTCCACAATTTGTTTTTGGTTCCTCTTTGCCTCCTTTCTATTTTTGGATTACTTCAGTATGTTTTAGTATTCCATTTAATTTCCTCCATTGGCTTTTCTCTAGGTTTACAATATGCTCCCTTAACTTACTACATTTAGAATATTGTACCATTTCATATTAATTGTATGCATTTATGTATTGTTAGACATATTTTACAACAATATACTTCCTTTTAGTCTCCTTTTGTAACTACTGTGTCATATATTTTATTTCAATATATGTTGTAAACTCCATAAGATAGTTATTTTTGCATGTCTTTAAAAAACTAAAAAAAAAATTTACCTGAATATTCACCATTTTCTGTGCTTTTCATTCTTT